TATCTTATAGACGGGTTGCTTCGAATTTGAATTTCATTTGTATTTCACTCACGTCCGAGGCCGGACTGTATGCCAAATAAATCATGGTACAGTGATCTTTAGAAGAAGAAAAAAACGTTCCACGATTTGCTTGTGGGTGAATCACTGTCAGGTTACCTAGGCCTCGGCAAGTGAATTTTATTGGGGGATTCTCAACCGGAATCTTCGGCTAGCTAAACCCTGACCCGCAAGGCAGTGAGGTGGTATGAAAACCGTTATCCATTGGGGACTGGTGACAAGTGCATCGGATCATACACGCTTTGGACGAGGTCATATGTCTAGGGTGCTCAATATAACTCGATACCCAATCGAGCCCGTGACCACTGCCACAGACAGTCAGATGTGTGTGGTTAGTACGCCTCTCTTTTTGTTTTGGTTTTACAACCCGGGTTCAAGTGGATGAGACACATCAATCGGAAAACAACATCAAGAAACGTTCGACGTCGAGNGAGAGCTGTACATTTGTGGATACTTCTCGAAGTAAATACTCAACCAAACGTTTGCTGACCATCTGTATTCCAGAATGGCTAGCACCTCCTACCAAATGTCATTTCAGCTTTGGGCGATCATTGATTTTTAGCGCGGAGATTTATTGTCGTACTCTTCGCATTATAATACATCAAATGCGTTTGGTCACGTGAGGATGTGTGTGTGTGTGTGCATGCAAGAAATACCAGAAACACGAGCAGAAACTCACTGGAAGGCGATACAAATAGCGGATTTTGTGGTGAAAATCGGATGACGCGGATGGGACGCACGACAAAGCCCACGTTCACCACCGGCCTCAGGCATCGCTTTCGATTTGGCCGTGTTCGAATCGAACACATACAGATAGTTGTCCACACAATCCTCACTGGCTGAAGGGATGTAGAATTCATCGATTCGTAGCATGATTTTTGCATTCTCCAACGGGGTGTGGATCACAATCTCACAGGAAAAATTCCACGGGTAAGTAGTATGCTGTGAATGATTGCTTCCGGGTCCCGGAGCACCTGGATTTGAGCCCGGACCGGAATGGTTTGTGGGAGATGGACGCCACCAATCGTGCGACTGGATTACTAGACCGCCATGTAATGAGTCCACTCGCAAGTGCGCGGTGTTTCGGTACGGACTGAGCGTGTCACGCGCATGCGGAATTTGACAATCTTTGGAAAGATAGTCTGAAATGAACGGAAGAGGTAAAATGATGCACGAAGGACAAGGTGACAACGAAGTGTGAATTGGGTCCAATTTAAGGAATTATTCTTCCACGCAATCAGTAGTTCTTTTGTGTATGCCCGTTTACAGTATTAGTTGAAGACTATTCCGCCCGAAAGGGGGACAATGCTGAGCCAAAGAGTTTTGTGAATTCAGGAACTAAGACGAGTTCCTATCGCGTATCATTGGTGGGTATAACCCATTCGAGTCAGGGGCCTTATACCTTTAAAGATAAATTATTCGCCGAGCAATTTCTATTCAAAAAGGAACTGGGATCAACTAGTATTAGTTAAACAATTGAGACAGAAGTTAACGGATCCGATGACAACGAAGACCAGCTGAACTTTGACTTCGAATACTCTACCTAATGCTGAATGGAGTAGGATAAAGAGGTAAACCCCATAATCGTATAGATTAGTGCTGGGTGCGGGGGAAGGAGCACAACTCCGAAAAACAACTTACTGCTTTCGCGTTTGAATATAGAAATGTTATAAAAAAAGTTTTAAAAAAACGGAAGAAAGTGCTACACAATGCAACGGAACTTGGAGATAAGGGGACTCAAACGCCACCATTTAATATGCTCTCGGAGTCACCCAGTAAGGATGACCTTTAAGGCATGCATGAGAGATCTAATCTAGCCAGCAAACGAAAGCGGTTAGATTGCATAGGCAAGCTGCATAGAGCCAAATCCGTGGGGTGTTAACGGTAGAAAAGAGAGGCGATCGTACGGGTGACAGTCAAATGTAAGTGCTAGGAACAAATGAGAGACAAAGCAACCAACTTTGCGTTTAACATGAGGCAAAAGTGCAGAAGAAGACCCCTGATCAAAACGTGTTAACCACATTGCAGAGTATGAGCCTTGCAAGTATCAGTTTTCAGTTTGAACAACCATTACCATGCACTATAGTGTGCCGATTTTGGTTGCTGTCTTTTGGCTACCCATTGGGATGAAGAATAGTGAAAAGAAAGGAAAGTTGAAAGTGGATTCGAAAGGAAAATGGCGAAGTTCAGTGGACTAAGGTTGCAAAGGAATTGAGGAGATGCACGAACGCCACTGTTTACGACACCCAGCTATATCGCTCAGTGTCTCTAACCATCGGTTACGATCAATCCGAGGTCCCCAGCCAGGGAGCTTAACAGGACCTATGTGACCCAGTTTCCTGGTTAGGGTTTTCATACCCTGATGCCAGATCTTAGCTTGACCACCTTTGGCTTTTTTCCACTCTGTATCTTCTTCGGCGAACATCGCTCGCCGTGGTAATCTACCTGGTGACATGCGTAGCACATGTCCCAGCCAACGTAATCTATGGAGGTCGATCACTTGCTCCAGTGGGCGACCGTATTTACCCAAAACTCTGTCCCTAACCTCAGCATTGCTCATCCGGCTACCCCACCAGATTCGTGCAATGCTGCGTAGACAGCGGTGTTCAAACACCGACAGTCTGTCTTTATCTTGTTTTCTTGATGGCCAAGTTTCTGCACCGTAGAGCAGAACTGGCCGAACTGTCGCGGTATACACTCGACCCTTCACAGACAGCCGGATGTCGCGATGGCGCCACAGATGTCTCAAGTTAGCGAATGCCAACCGAGCCTTCTGTATGCGAGCTGACATTTCATCCGTGATGCGTCCACCGGGTGAGATGTAGCTGCCCAGATAACAAAACTTATTCACCTGCTCTATTACTTCCCCAGTGAGAGTGAGGCTGGGTGCTGGACCAACCCAGTCTTGTAGTAACATTTTACACTTTGAAGGTGCAAAACGCATACCGAACGTGGATACACTCGCACTCAAGCTTTTCCAGAAAAGTTGGCAACGTGCATGGTTCTTCACTTAGTAGCACAATGTCGTCTGCATACTCTAGATTAGACAGTCTGACACCTGGGAGCAAATCGATACCGCCATTCTCGCAAAAGGATAGGGCTGTTTCAAGAATTAAATATATGACAAAGTAGACTGCTCTCGAAAGGATTACAGCAACATGAACCGAGATGAAAATTTCGTAAAGGAAAATTTGTATCCAAGTTGTAAAACACGCGGAGGGTTCACAAAAAGTAAAGATTCACACGAAACCCGTTAGGGCAATCTCGATCGAACACTGTGGAGTTCCCAAGAAGAAGCAGATGCGAGAGAGAGAGAGCTATGTTTCGAAAGTCTATTTGCAGATATCGCTTACAGTGTGCTATAGGCATTCGTTTCCGGTGGCTCTAACACAGTTGTTTACCGAGTGTGTGAAGAGTCTGGTTGATAACCGAGTAGGAGACATATTCACCGATGTTGACCAATTGAAGCGGCAGTCGGAAATGTATCCTCGGCAGAGGTAACTGATAACGATGTGATCCAGTTAGAACGGAAGTGGTCCCCATTTTGAACTCTCAGACTAGCAAGTGTACCGATGTTCCTGTAAGATTCTAAGGCTCATTTTTCTCTCCCCTTTAGGGCCCGACTTTGGTTGTAGGCATCAGTGGATTATCAAATTTGATTTACCAGTTACAATGAACGGGAGACGCATTATTTATTATCATTACTATCCCCATTAAAACCAAGTTGAATATTGAACACTGTTTCGTGCTCCCTGTTTCACCAAGACCTGCAATTACAAATAAATTTAGAATAAGCGTATTTGAAGTATTGTAATGGGAAAAGAAACCGGTTTCCTCATATCACAGCGTCATATACAATAGAGTGAGTAAACGANAAGGATCTACCAGTTAGTTATGCAAACCAGTAAAACCAAACTCGTTTATGTGACCGGAAAAAAAATAATACTGGATCAAACGACAAATTAAACGATGTCAAAGGTCGGTATCAGTGGAAGAGTTCAAATCTCGGACTCCAGGGCAGGGGTCACGTCAGTAACAGCGGCAGGAGAATAGCGTAACCACCAAGCAAATTTCCGGCTGACCGATGAAAAAAAAAACTGAGGGATTCGCGAACTTACATGTCATTTTTGACATCGTTTGAGCAAGAAATCGCCCAAATACCAGCCAGAATACGAATACATTTCCGATCATTCTCTCCATCGGAGAGTGTTTTCTATTGCACACCCATGATCTGGAAAAAAATCAATAATATTAACAATGACAGTGAATACAATGACAAGCGGAAACTCTAAAATGAGCATGATTAAAACGAGAGAGAAAGTGGACCTTCTGATCAAATGATTTCACCAAGGAATCCGGTAATGAGATGATTTATCAAATACAGATATCAGTAAGAGCAAATTACTACAGAAACCGGATAGAAAACATGTTTTTTAGTTTGAGGTTTGTACAATTTTGTGATTATCTATCTGAAGATGCTGAAAGACACTAGGGTGACGGTATAACACTGACGATCATCATAGATGTGCACGACTGCATCGTCTACCGTTTTGTCCACCACGACGATTCATTGTCGTTTTCTTTTTATAACAGATCTCTGAGCGATGAACAGCAGACAGGGTAAACCACATAATCGTGGAGACAGTGTTCAGTGATGGAAAACGGCAACCTTAGCCCCGGGGCTTGGTGTGGCGAACCATATAAGACCCCGCTAGGTTAGGCATGGTATAGAACTGGATGACAGCAAAGCCGCCTATCGCCAAAGTCGGGTGGGGCTCGAACCCCAGGGGCCAAAGCACACCGGTGATAGCAACTAAACCGCTGCATCAACACCACCACCACCCATGGGCACATCCTTGAGGGAAAGACAGTGTCCGAGTTTAGAGCGGTCGAGTGAGTCAAAAGCTGCGTCCCGATCGAGGAACACAGAAATGATGTGTCTACCATCATCATCATCATTGTACAGCGTAATACAGTGAAGCGAACTTCACTGATCGCTGCCAAACTCGTATTGCATACAAGGTAAGTGAAATGTGTAAGGAGGATACGGATTGGGCTTACCTTTAGAGAAAGGAAAAGAAAGCGAACCTCTATGGTCAACACACAGAGTACACAGTTCAACTGTGTATACAAACTATTTCAATCATTCTGGTCTGATAAGAAGTGACAGCAAGCTCGCCATCGTTGTCGGTTCGCAGCCATGATCTTCAGTGTCTCCAACCATGCGGTTTCGGAGTCTTGTGGACCCCAACCCGAAAGACGAGACACCTACTCTACCGAATCGCTCTGTGCATTTATCTATGCCTCGTCTCCAGGTCATCTGCTGGCCTCCACGTGGCTTTCTCCAGCCTGTAACAGCCACTGCAAACAAGGCGCGCTGCGGTGGTCGACCGTCGGACATACGCAAAACGTGTCTTAACCAACAGAGCCTACTGAGTTGGATTCGATGAGATAGTGAGTTCCTGTTTGATGTATTCCCAGACAACCGACGACTTACTTCCAAGTTATTAACCCGCTCACTCCATCCCACTTGGGTCAGACTACGTAAGCATCGATTGTCGAACACTGCTAAACGACGGGTGTCTTCTACCCGCAAATTCAAGGTCTCACAACCGTAAAACAGAACTGATCGTACAGTGGCGCAGTATACGCGACTTTTCAAATTCAGTGAAACGTCATGTTGCCGCCACAGGTGTTTAAGTCCCGCGTATGTTGCTCGAGCCTTGGAAATGCGGGTGGTTATCCCCTTTGCTGCGCTACCGTCGTTGGTCACNACAAGAAGCAGTCAACTTCAGCTAATTCCTGGCCGTCTAGTTTCAGAACACAACTCGGCGACACACAGTCTTGTAGCATCACTTTACACATCGAAAATGCAAAGCACATGCTGAACGGAGCGACAGAACTTGCTAAACTGTCAAGTGCACTTTGCGCATATTCCATACATTCCAACAAGCAAACGATGGCGTCAGCGTACTCCAAATCGCAGTTTTTCTCCAGTTGCTCATTTAATACCTACATTTTGGAGACCACTTAGTGTTCTCCAGAATTTCTTCTATGACGAAATTGAACAAGAATGGCGAAAGAGGCACCCTTGACGAACACCACTGCTGGTTACGAACGACCTACTCAGCTCGTCGTAGATCCTTACGCTACCAGAAGTATGCGAGTAAAGTGGACTCAGAATTTTCACGTACTTCTGCGGCATTCCTTTGCGAAGGAGCGAACCCATAAGGGATTCACGATCGACTGAGTCAAAGGCTCCTTTTAGGTCAAGGAACACGACAACCGTTGGTCGACGGTGCGTATAGCGCAGTTCGAGGACTTGAAGCAGAGTGAAGATTGGATCGATATAACCGCCACCTGGTCGAAATCCTGCTTGTCGTTCGCGGATATTGGTCTCCCTAAACGATGTCAGACGTCGAAGTATTATGGAGGCTAGTAACTGTGACGATTGGGATCAAACTTATTCCACGGTGGTTCGCGCAATCGTTGAGAGATCCCTCCTTAAAAATTGGAACATCCATTCGCTCCAGGATGATGGAATGCGCTCGTGTGACCGTATGTTACGCATCAAATCGGTAATGGAGTCTACGAGGTCATCGCCCCCCATCTTGAAAAAAGTGGGAGGGAGCTCGTCCGATCCTTCTGCTTTTCCTTTCTTCAGGGCTTGGATGCAAAAACGAACTTCTGCTGCAGTAAGAGGTTCAGATGACACTGCCCACGGAGCTTCAGCTACACCGGAGATAGCTTGGTTTGTGCCTGGCCAACTGAACTGTTTGTTGAAGTACTCTGCCTACCGGTCAAACCGTTGTTCCCTACTGAGAATAGCTTTTCCACTTTGGCCGATGACTGTTTCACTAACTGAGGTTCGCCGACCTCCCATATTGCGTATCAGTTGGAACAGTCTTTGACTATTCCCTGATAGAGCTACCACTTCCATTTCACTAGCTATCGTTGTCCACCAGTTCTCACGGTCTTTCTTGATTTGACGTTGCAGACGCCACCCAACCGTGCCTTGATCCCGGGTGGTCGGGATTTGCCGCTTTTTCTCCATCAGTGCCACCTACTGATCAGATATCCAACGCCTCGGGAGGGCTCCCGCTTCAGAGCCACAAGCAACCTCCGCTGCAGAGTGCATTGCTCGACTAATCTGATCCCATCGTTTATCTACACTAACAACCCGCAGAGAGTTTAGCTCTTGCCCTAGTTCTGCTTCAAAAGGAGCACGAACGGCTAGGTCAGATAAACGATGATCTGCCAATCGAGTTTGGTAGGATTTTCTGCGCCGTGACTTGGAGAGTGAACTGCATCAAAACTAACCCATGATCAGATTCAACGCAGGTGGTCCAATAGGACCTGCAGTTTTGTACTGAACAACGTCAACGGTAGCTTACTGCTATGTGGTCGATCTGAGTTAGCGCCACGTTGCTGTCCGTTGAGAGCTGTATCGGAAGTTGGTGCTGGATAGGAACAGATGATGGTCTGCGCAGAACTGAAGAAGTCGGTCGCCATTATCTGTTTGCAGGCAGAGCAGAGCACAATGACCGCCTAGGTAAGCTTCTGATGCGCTCAGTTTTCCAACCTGAGAGTTAAAATCATCTGTAAGAACAACTATATTGGAGCTTCCACTCGACCGAATGAGTTCGGAGAGTTTATCATAAAACTCATCCTTTTGTGCGTCAGAACTGCAGTTGGTCGGTGCATACCCTGAACTGATGAACAAACACCTTTTGATGTTGCTTCCCTTCCGGACGTTGATAGACCCCTGAAGCCTCATCGCACATAAGCGACTGTTGACGTGGATCCAATCGAGTAGTGCGGCTTCGGCTGTATTGTTAAGTATAATGCCCACACCACGCCGGCCTATTGAACGGGCTTCGTCATTACCTGACGCGCGGAGGAAGAACCTCGAAGACAATCCCGGTGCACTCAAATGGCTTATAGTACTAGGATCCTGGTTTGGCGTCTCCGATACGCAGCAGGAGTCCACTGTGGGCGCCAGACATGCTTGTTGACCGACCTACATGTGAGTCCTCACGTTGAAAGCCCCAGACTCAGTGTTTGACGAGGATTCAGAATCTGCAATCTATTTTGTGGTAAACTACTTACCAGGTTACTTGGCGAGTGGAGAACAAGTTGTCTGAGAGAATGTTACGGGTTAGAAGGGGTAAAGGGAGAGAGTTGGGTAAGGTGGATAAAGAGTTAAACAAAGGTTGGAATATCTCAGTAGTAGTCCATTTATTACTACTCACCCCTCTCGATGCAGTGGACAGCGTGGTCCTGATTACCCTGCGTGACGACCGATGCAGTATGGAACTATTTTTTGTGTATGCATTTCAGTTTATCTACCAAGGGAGGGTTTGCGTTCCAAATAGAGTGAAAATGTGATCGATTCAGCCTCAACCAGGTCTAAAACCAACCTGATTCTAACGCGTGTGGCGGGCAATCGACGGAGTACACTGCAGCGAAAGTTTAGAGACAATGTTGATTAAACTAATTGCTCTGTGGTTTTCCTAAGAAGATCTGTCACCTTTCTTGTACATCAGAAAGATGACCGATTTGCGCCATGCAGTTGGGACTTTTCCGCTTCCATACTGAGCCCAGGAGTTTCGTCAACTCAAGGGCAAATGCTGTCCGGGTTGGAGGTCTTATACATTCTAAGTAACGTTTGTCGTCGTAACCTTCACTTTCGATGGAGGACTGATATCAACTGATCATATATGGCCATTCAGAACAGGGTTTGGGAGGTACAGTTACGACGGGAGTCCCTCTCTCCAGGCGACGTTACTGAAAATGAATCCGTGTGCCATCAGATTCCTGAAACATCTCGAGCACCGGCTGTCATTGAACCCGCAGTCCTAATTAGGCGGAAAGAAATGCTATCGTTGCCAATAGTCACAACCTTCTTCATCACTATACCTTTCACTACCCACCACTTCTCGCGACCGTTCCCCGGGATCGGTCTAAATAGGGGTTAGAGACAGTGGGTGATGAGGCCGAACGGCATAAACAGTGGCACTCGTGCATCTATATAATCTTTTCGTAAATTGAGATGAAATTCTTTACGTATCTTTACTCTAGCGTTGCTTTTCCGGTTTATTCCTTCATCAAAATGAGCAGCCACCAGACAGAAA